AATCAGGATGGGTGTGTCAGAGGCAGTGCGATTGGCACAGGATAGAGCACGGTTTAGGGCTGTTGTACATAGGGTAGGTATGAGTCACAAGCGACTTGACGGCACATAACAACAACAACAACAACAACATATGCTTGGAGTAGTTAAGAGTTTAGTGATTAAGAGATTTTTAGAATATATAAAGGCAGTCATATCCAGCATTTCCAGCTCAACTTTGTTTTGCAGGATCACTGCTTTCATGCTGCTCTGTTCTTATTGAAGATTAACTTAAATGTTATCTAATAGTATTTTTTTTTATTATACAACGTGTTTGGTGAGAATAGAGGATTGACATGATTTTTCTGTAGGTGCTTAAAGTTCAGGACATAAAAGAGTACTAGAGGCAAAGACACAGAATTCTGAAGTGGACTATTAAAAGGTTAAGTGCAGTTTTAGAAAGAAGTCATTTTTAGATCTTAAAGCATTTAATGTACCAGATTCTCGTCTGAGTGGTTTACATATATTAAATTCCTTGAGCTGTCCAATAATGCCTTGCTGGGGGGGGGGGGGTGTTACGTGCTCTTGTGCTGACTATAGTTCACAGCAGCCCTGTGAATGACGAACCTGAATCCTGCCCTGTCCTGTGCCACTTTCATCATCTCTGATAGACTTGAGCCCATTGTTATAATCACAGTGTCTGTCCGTCTTTTAGTGCTGCCCCCATCTTTTCCGAGATGTGGTAAACTTTCTAAAACACTGGCCTCTCCTAACAACATGCCCCAACTATGTGAGGCCAGACATCACTCTCCTTGCCTCTAAGAAGCAATCTGGCTGTACCTTCTCCAAGACAGACTTGTTTGTTCTTTTGATAGGATGAGATACATACTTTTAATACTAATTTTACAGATTGTTGTTTTTACGTGCTGTCAAGTTGAAACCAATTCAGTAGCTGACCCTCTAGCTCGTTTTCAGAGTCTGTAGACTGCACAGAAGGAGATTACCCATCTTTCTCCTGCCAAGCAGCGAGTGGATTCAAACTGTACTTATGTTGGCAGCACAACTCCCTACCCATTAGGCCACTTGAGTGCCCTCATCTTATCAACGGGGAAATCAAAGAACAGGGACTCCAGAGACACACAACATGTAGTTGGCAGGGTTAGGATGATCCAGACCCAGGATACAAAACGTCTTCTATTTGCTTTATGCTTCACCTGTCTGAAGGCTGGAAACACACTCGCCAAAGATTCCTACTTCATTTTACTGATAAAATAGCCTTCAGAAACCAAGAGCTCCTGAGTGTTTGCCTCTTTTGGTGGATGGAGCTTAGGGAGTACTTTCAGTTTTCTTCGCCGCCTTTTTTTTCCCTGACTAGACAAATGCTATACAATTAACTATAGGGTATAAAAACGTGAAGAAGTATTATCAAGTTGACACGTACTTCAGTTCCTTAATGTTTGTTTTCAGTCTTAGAGTTTGCTTTTATTTGGTTTTAATTTTTAAAAATATTTACATGGTTCAAAATGCCTTTAAAAAAAAGGAACTTAAAAATTGCACTTTAGTTCCCACCCAACCCCAGAGATTATTTGATAGTATATTTTAATATCTAGTGAAGCCTAACCCTTTTTATTGTCATGACCAAATAGTACTTTGCGTCCTTTGCATCAGATTTTCAAAAGTGGAAAACAATTACTGTTGAATTGACTCCAAATCATTGTGACTCATTTGTGTTAGAGCAGAACTCTCCATGCGTCATAAAATTCACTACCCTTTCTAATGATGTAAATAATTAAGTGACTGTAAATCCACAACTGTAGATCAAAAGCCAAATTGTGTTGAGGAAGGCTGCTGTCAGAGACCTCTCCAAAGTACAGTGATCTCAGTCTAGAGACTAGACTGATCTAGGCCATGGTCTTCACAGTTACTTTCTACATTACCGGTGATGTACTTACTCACATTTGTGAACTTTTTTCTTTTTAGCACCTTAAAGACAAGTTCTGGAATTTTATTTTCTACAAGTTCATTTTCATTTTTGGTGTGCTGAATGTCCAGACGGTGGAAGAGGTGGTCATGTGGTGCCTTTGGTTTGCTGGGCTTGTGTTTCTGCACCTGATGGTTCAGCTCTGCAAGGACCGATTCGAATATGTGAGTTTTTAGCCCATTTCTTCGTTTGCTCAGCCCCAGATTTGAACTCTGTGATAGGAGTGAGCCTCACAGGCTTGCTTGTAGTAGCGGCCAAAGGGAGCCTATGAGATCAGGTAGGTGTTGGCCATTTCTTGAACTTTATGCCGCAGCTCCGCGTTCAAGATCAGCATCTTCCATAACTAATCATGTCGGGTTAGTTCATACACTCAGACTGTATCAGTCATAGTGCAAGGAAGTCTGCCGTGTACACGTTGTAGGAAAAATGTTCTCTTTAGCATTCTCCCTCTCCCCCCCCCACCCCCTTTTTTGCCCCATTTACCATAATTGGTAGAATTCTTTCTGGCTGGTCATTGGTGTTTCTGTTCCTAGGCCAGAACTGAATTAACTCACTTAGCTTCCATTTTCCTTGGAGAAGCAGTATTTTCTGCCTGCATTCAAGATCAGCCTGCTCAGGAACTCATCTCTCGTGGATTCTGGGCACTGCGCTCCTGCAGTGCTCCTGCCCCTTGGTTCACCTCCTCCCATGGCCGTCTTTGCCCCTTTCTTTGCCCAGTCTTCACGGACAAGGCAGCCCTTGCACTTTTATGTGAGCTAATCTCACTCTCAAAACCTTAAGCTCTTTGACAGTACTCTCCCTATTTCTGGTCTGCAATGAGAGTTTCTAATGCCCCAGACTGTTTGTTTCCATACCTGCTTATTTAAGATTCACAACTCCAGGCTTCCTTTTCTGCTTATTTAAGATTCACAACTCCAGGCTTCCTTTTCTGAACTGTTGCTTAATATAACATTGCATCAGTGGAAAACTTGAACCTTAATTACATTTCCATTGTCTTCACCCCCCACAGACCTAGGAATGGTCTCCAGTTGAATTTTTGGGAGGAGAACTAGGCCCAGGAGCAATGTTAAGACAAAGGGATATACTGTTCTTATCTGAGTCCTGTTGTATATTAAAGGATAGAATTGCATTCATACACTTAATAGGTTTCCAAAGGTTTATCATCCCTGGTGGTAACAAGATCCCTGAGAGTAGGAGATGGAAATAGCATGCACTTTATTTGTTTGTTAGTTCATACTGACAGTCCCTTAAGTATCAACTCATACTAAGATTTAGGTGTCTAGAGGGCAGTGAATGAGAGGGATGTTCTTTGCTTTGCATTTGACCATGCAAGCTTAGCACAGACACCACTTCCATCACCCCTACCAGAGAAGCCGTCATTGATCTTGATGGAGATGCTTTGTTTAATGCTTTGGTGAAGAAGACTGACCTTCCTGTCCCGTCCTGTCCCTTTCAGCTTTCCTTCTCACCCACCACTCCGATGAGCAGCCACAGTCGGGTCCTGTCGCTGTTGATTGCTATGCTGCTCTCCTGCTGTGGATTGGCAGTGGTCTGTTGCATCACAGGCTACACTCATGGGATGCACACGTTAGCGTTCATGGCCGCAGAGGTGAGATACTGGACACAGACTTGGGCTCTGATCATAGTCATGGAGATTTTCAAGGGACCTGGACTATTGGTGGGTTGACAGATTGTTTCGTCCGTGAAGACTGGTGGATATTTGGTCTTTGATTTTTAACTGGCATTTATTGAGTTCCTATATTGTGTCATGTAAGGGTGTTGGATGCTTTTGTGGTTTCTATTCCATGTCATCCTCATTATAGCCAAATAAAAATTATTAGTTTGTAATGTATAATGGAATTGAGCAAAATATTTTTTAAAAATTTTTGTTGAGATTTTGAGTTAAAGTGTTTATCTTTGTATCAGTATGTAAGATATTTTCCAAGTATGAAAGTAATGAGTTTCTTTTCACCTCCAAAATAAGTAATTACCATTCTGTTGTTTTAATAGCTAAAAGGCACTTTTTTCTTAATCTCAGTGTCTATAATACAAATAAGAGAAGCTTGCCTTGTGTTTGACTTCTTTGTTATCTTTCTTTGTGTACAGACAAAGGAGAATCTGTGACACTTTAGCAAGAGAGCAAGTTACTTGCTGTTAGGCCCAAACTCATTGCCATGGAATCAGTTCTGACTCCTAGCAACCTTCCAACAGATTTCTGAGACTCAGTCTCTCTAGAAGGAGAGTGCCCATCTTTCTCCCATGGAGCAGCTGGTCAATTTGAACGGCCACCTTTCGATTAGCAGCTCAACATACTTCCCTCTAGGCCACCTGGGCAGCCTGGTTTCAAGGCAGTAGTTCCTAAGCTAGGGAGCTCTGTAGTGTAGTTTGCAGGGCTCTGCTTGCCCAGAGGCTCTGCTTCTCTGGCAGTTCAAAACCACCAGTGACTCAGCAGCAGAAAGATAATCTCTTCTCCTGTGATTTACAGCCTTGGAAATTTACAGCTGATCCTAACTTGACAACACTGGGGTTGAGTGGAGTCGTTTGATGATTACCTAAGCTGTCTAAGGTTACTTCTAGGTAATTGATTATGGTGCTAGAATGCTGTATAAAATATTGTCAGGCTATTAGGAAGAAACCATGCAGTCTCAGGAGATGGACAGCTTGTTGTCACTTATTAGTAAGAAAAGGATCCGTAAGAAGAGATGGATTTCTAGGTGGTAAAAATATTCCATAGAAATTTGAAGCAGAGGAAATAAAATGGTTGATAAACTCTAACGTCTACTTTTTGTTAATTGAACGAAATAATTTTTTTGCTTCCACCATTTTATAAAAGTGAATTTGGTCTGAGCAATCGTACATTGTTTTAAAAAGGAAAAACATTAACCTACAACCTCTTTCTTTTTTTTATAGTCTCTTCTTGTAACAGTGAGGACTGCACATGTGATCTTACGGTGAGTAGGGATTTGGGAGCATGATGCTCTGGTGCTGCAGTTTATAGGGAATTGTGTTGCTGCTTCCTTGGCAGCTTGAATTCACCAGCAGCTCGAGGCCCGGAAGATGGACAGTCTCCTGTGTGATTTAGAGCCTCCAGAAACCCACTGGAGGGTCAGCTATGAACTGGTTCTAACTCAGCAACAATGAGAGAGGGAGGGTGGGAGGGATCTGGGAAGTAAAAGAATAAGATCTAGTCATGTAATTGAGGTTGCAGTATAGCATTTCCAGTGCCACAGGAGGAAATAAGAGATTAGAACTCAAGTTTCTAGAAAGGCTAGATTTTCTAGACCAGTTGAAGCTAGAAAACTATCACCAGGAAATACTTTAAACCTTGACCTGAGATTATCCTTTGAGGTCACCTCTTAGCTCAGTAACAGATTGACTCATAAAATGAAGAATATCACGATGAGTAATGAGTTCTTCTAAAACTCCATTCACATAAAACCAAATGATAAAAAAAAGAAAAACTCTGAAACAAAAATAAGGCAAGGGGAGAGGGAAGTTGGGGTGCTGGAAATTGGTACAATTAGAACAGAATTTTTGAGAATGGTGACACATAGTGAAAATGTCACCAGTATCATGGTTCATGTAGGAATTGCAAGATGGGAACCTAATTTGTTCTGCAAACTTTTGAATCAATAAAATAATATTTCAAAAACAAATTCCGTAAAATAATATTTTTTAAGAGATTGTGATGTAAATTGAGTTGTGAATTATTGTGATGCTTTGCTTTCTTTCCTACAGTTATGTGATTCACCTGTGGGACCTGAACCATGAAGGGACCTGGGAAGGAAAGGGAACATATGTCTATTACACGGATTTTATCATGGAGCTGACTCTCTTGTCCTTGGACCTCATGCACCATATTCACATGTTGGTAAGTTTTCTCCACGGACTAAGTTCTTTCAGAGCCCTGGTTAGTACATTAACACACTAAATATTTGGACTGGGATTAATGAGCCACATGAAAGAACCACATATTTGTGAAAAAGCGTATGTCGCCTTGTGTAGCCTCTCGCTCACGGTACGGGGTAAACCAGTATCAGGGAGCAGCTTCGACTGGTGTCCAGCCCAGGAGCCATGTGTTGCCCTCCATGGAGCCGTGATTAACTCTGCTGATGAAACTCAAGAGGTGCTCTAAGCGTGGATCTTAGAGGCTGCTTCTACCTTATTAAAGCTTGTAGCTTCTAAAAATTATATACTATAAATATATATTATCATTATGTAGCAGATACGTGACATGTAACAGATAATGCATATTTGTAATAAATTTACTACAATCTTAACTCATTTTTATTATGTATAATAAGTGTAATTAGTGATATGGAAATATTATGTGAATTACATACTCCCATATTGGATATTTTGTCCATCTCCAAACTGTTTGGCATAAAGCCCCTCACTGTTCGACTTTATTTCTAGAGTGGTTTTAGGTACACAGAAAAATTCTACAGAAAGTACAGAGAACATGCTATGCTTTCGTTCCCTTTTGCACGCTTCCTCCACTTGTTGAGTACCATCAAGTCAGAACTGACCATCCCCTAGCTGACCTTCCAGTGCGTTTTCAGAGGCTTTACATTACACAAGAGGAGAGAGCCCATCTTTCTTCTGCAGAGCAGCTGGTGGATTTGAACCATATGCCTTCGAGTTGGCATGCAACTCCTTACCACTAGGCCACCTGAGCTCCTTTTCTCAGGTTAACATCTTGCACTTATGTGGAACACCTCTTATAAACTGACAAGCCGGTATTGATACATTATTAACTAAAGTCTATAGTTTACTGAGTCCATTCCAATACATAATGTCATTCCCATTGATATTTTCATTGTTTCTATAATTTTGCCTTTTCAAGAATGTCACGAATTTGAAATCATATAATGTTCATGTAAAGGTTTTAATTTTTTTTTTTTCCTGAACAAAAATGCCTTTAATACAGAGCCACCACTGTTATTCAGACTCAGGGAGACTTTTTGTAATTCTTTGTAATGGAGTGGAACTGCCTATAGGATTTCCAAAGCTTCAATCTTTCAGGAATCTGCTCAAGTTTTTAAATTTCTGATAATGGAAATGGATAGATTAAGTTAGTGCACTCACTAGGCCAAAGATCATGTGCATTGTTTAGGATAATGAAATAAAGATTTGCGTGTGTTTTCTGAAAAGAACAATTCGACTTCACCTTCGCCAACAATTAAGAACTTACTGTACACACACGTTTCATTAGCATGCTCATGCTCGCTTTCACTGTGTATTTTCTCTGTTCTTTTTAAAAGTTGTTTGGCAACATCTGGTTATCCATGGCCAGCTTGGTGATCTTTATGCAGCTACGCTATCTGTTCCACGAGGTACAACGTCGAATCCGTCGACACAAGAACTATTTACGTGTGGTTGGAAACATGGAAGCCAGGTAAATATGCACCAGTCAACTATTCCCACGTTTATTCATTTTAGCTTTTTTAATAGCAAACCTTAGATAATGTCAGAACTGGTTCTTGTAAATGGTTGGTAAGGTTGTTGTTGATTGCCATCGAGTCAAGCACGACTCATAGCGACCCTGTGAACAAAAGGCCTGAAGCCTTTCTCTAACTATCATTGTTTCTCAAAGTTTCCAGAGTTTGCAGAGTTATTAGGGTAGTGGACATGATAAGCTCTGGAGTCAGATTGCTTGAATGTCAGTTAACTTCCTCTATCCTACAATTGATGCCTCTGAGCTGTGGTGCTGGAGAAGAGTACCAGAGACTGCTAGGAGAACAAACAAGTTCATCCTGGAGAGGGTGAAGCCAGGCTGCTCCTTGGAGGCAAGGATTCTGAAGCTTCATCATACTTTGGTCATGGTGCAAGGTGGGATCAGTCCTTGGCGAGGGACATCATACTTGGGAGGGTGGAGGGACAGCTCAGGAGAGGAAGACCCTCAATGAGATGGATTGATTCAGTGACTGGGGTAATGGGGTAGGTATATCAGAGACAATAAGATTGGCACAGGATAGAGCCAGGTTTAGGGCTGTTCTGCATAGGGTCTTTATGAGTTGCAAGCTATTCAATGGCACATAACAACACCACATCCTCCAGTTGCTTCAGCTCTGATAAAAGGATGATGATAGAACCTTCTTTCAGAAACTTTGGGAGAGTTCAAACAGTTGATGTGTATAATATGTTGAGAATGATTTGGGTAAAGGCCCTCAGTAAATGTTAGTTCTTGTCTTATTAATGAGAATGTTCTGGTGGTGTAGTCTGTAGGAAATTGTGCTGCCAATCCAGAGGTAGTGCCTCTCTGCTGGTTAAAATCCAGCTGCAGCCTCAAGGGAGAAAGATGGACACACTCTTCTATGCTGTCCAAAAACCCACTGGAGGGTCAACTCTGAGTTTGTTCTGATTTGACGGCAGAGAGTTTTTTAATTTGAGAGAATATAATTTTTATTAAATGGCTGTTCTCTTCAGTTTTTATCCTTTTTATTTCATAACTGTAGGACTCATTTATTTCCTTCATGTGTGTATGTGCACACTCTAAATTGAGGGAGGCACTCATTTGTCAACCCGAGGCTGAACCAATGCTCAGAGTACAAACTTTGTATGTATTGTGTTTGTGTCCAGAGAAACAGACAGTTGGATCCTCTGGGGATTTTATTCCTCTGCTTTGCTGGTGAATGTTCCCTTGAGGCTTTGCTAATTGGAGTTGTTATTAAGATAAAGTTGCACACAATTTCTCAAGTGTTAGCTGAGAAAGTAGGTGTAATGCTTTTGATTGTTGCAAGTTTATTACTGAATACAGGTTCTTTGTAATTGTGCTGAGCGGGGCTTGGTATATGTGTGTGGAACTGACAGATTCCTCCAGGGCTTTATTTCATTCTTTATTTGCTTTTACAGGTTTGCAGTTGCGACCGCAGAGGAGCTGGCTGTCAATAATGATGACTGTGCCATCTGCTGGGACTCCATGCAGGCTGCGAGGAAGCTGCCCTGTGGACATCTTTTCCACAAGTAGGAGCTCCAGGAAGGGCTTAATGAGTTGGTGGTGTGTCTAGGACATGTGGGGCTTTTGGCACCCAGGTTATGACTCATAGGCAAAGTTGGGCTGGTGCCTTGCTCAGGTCTCAGGATGCTACCGCTTGGGGTGTTCTCCATCCCCTCCTCTTGTCCCTGTGCCAGCAAACTGGTTTCTCTGGGTGATGCAGACGATTCATGTGTCCAGCTGCCCACTGAAAGGTTGAAGGTCATCTCTACCAAAAGGCACCTGGGAAGGAAAGTCCTGGTGTGTTTTTGAGAACAGTCTGCTGTTGAGAATCCTGGGGAACACTGTTCTGCTCTGGCAGCCAGGAGATTGTGAGTTCGAGTCCATCTGTGGCAACCAGTTTGCTTCCCTTACACAATCTGCTATCTTTGCTGTCTTCATGTTCCTTCTCTACTTAAACTCTGAAAAACAGGACATAATCCTGGTAGATTTCAAAGCAAACAGTGAGGAAATTATTTTTTTCAATGTTATTTCGGGTATTTTATTTTCTCATTTTGCGCATAAACAAAAGCAGCATTAAAAACACACCAGAGAAGCAGGATGAAATGGGAGCTATACTAGGTTTACTAACTGAGAAGACCAGTCAAAGAGTGTATCCAAAGATTGTATAAGGGTTACAGATAGGCACTTCAAAGGCTTGCCAAAGAAGATCAAAGACTGTAGTCTTCAATGTGGATTACATCTCCCATCAAGAAAACAGAAATCGCCACTGGGCCAATAAGCAGCATTACGACAGATGGAGGACAGATTGAATTGCGAGCAGTTTCTTCTTACATGGCTTCCCAGTCAACACGCTTCGTACCAGCAGCCACGAAAGCAGAAGACAGACTGCATTGGGAAGAGGGATCTCTGGGAATTGTGAAACTCGGCTGTCAAAGACCTATCGAGAGTTCTAAAGAACAAGCATGTCAGTCTAAAGACTTCAGGTGCTCCTAATCCAAACGGTGGTAAATTTTTGTTGCTGCTTATGCACTTGAATGATGAGCAGTGGATAAGGATGACAAGAAGAATCAAAGCCTTTGAATTGTGATAGCGAATAGTATTGAATATTCCATGGACTGCCGGAAGAACAAACTGATATGTCTTAAAGAAAATGCAACCAGACGCTGCTTAGAGGAACGGGATGATGACATTTCATCTCACTTGCATTGGGCATATTTTCAGGAGGAACTAGTCCTTAGAGAGAGGTGCCATACAGGTAAAGGTAGAAGGTCAGAGAAAGAAAGACCTTCTGTGAGATGGATTGACGTGGTGGCTCCCACGTGGTCTTGAGCATGACAGATAGTGAGGATGGTACAGGGTCCGGCAAAGTTCAGGTCCACTGATAGGGCCACCATGATCTGCAGTGGACTTGATACTACCCACCAGCAGCAACAGCAGTATTTAAAATTAGCATAGAGGGGAGCTCTGGTGGCCTAGTGGCAAAAAGCGGTACTGCAATCCCAGAGGTATGCAGTTCGAATCCAACAGATGCTCTGCCGGAGAAGGAGGGGTGATCTCCTCCTGTACCAGTCAGATCTGATTTGATGGTACACACAAAAATAATAACAATAAAAAAATTAGCACAGAAGAGAATTAATTGTAGGTACTTCCTTATTTTAGAATGGGACAGTACCCACACTGTTTGAAGATATTGCTGTCACCCACTTGTAGACACACAGGTATTAAGAGGTGGCCTCTGGGAAAGTGAGGTTGGGGGTGATTCTGAGGATCACACATTGTGGTGAGAGTCTCTGAGGTAGTCAGGTCATGGGTGCTAGTGCTCCCAGATACTAAATGACGTGGAAGACACATCATGAGCAGGCATTTTCATTCAGTTTCTCCTTGAGAACTTAGAAGAAAAATACTAGCAAGTGGGAAACGTTGGCGATTATAAATTTTCTTTTCCTTTTTAGGGCATGGGATTAATCCAGGAAAGTGGAAGGATTTTCTTGGGTTAACACAGCAACTTAATGGTGAAGCTGAAACCAGATCTGACTTTCTCCTCCTTGTTGTAGTACTTTTTCCTTTTAACTAACGCCACAAGTATTTGTCAAGTGTCTACCATAATTACAGCATCATGATCTCCTAAAAGAGGGCAGAGGGAGCTTTCTCTGTCATTGAGAAAGTAGACTACAAATAGACAAGGGTTCAGAAGTTGCGGTGGTGTGGGCGAGTGAAGAGGCGCACCCAGGAAATGCGGACCTGAGGAGGTGACAGCTGATGAGCAGCTGACATTAACAGTGCATGGGAACAACTATGAGATACCATCTCACTCCAGTCAGAAGAGCAAAATTTAACAGAGCAGCAAACAACAAATGCTGGCGAGGTTGTGGAGAAACTGGAATCCTTATTCACTGTTGGTGCGAGTGCAAAATGGTGCAACCATTGTGGAAAGTGGTATGGCCCTTTCTCAAAAAGTTGCAAATAGAGATACCATTTGACCCAGGAATTCCACTACTGGGAATATACCCCAAAGAGACCATAGCTGACATCCAAGCAGATATATGCACATCCATGTTTATCACAGCTTTGTTCACAATAGCAAGGAGTTGGAAACAACCTAAGTGCCTCAACAAATGAATGGATAATGAAGCTGTGATATATTCGCACAATAGAATACTATGCTGCATTAAAAACAAAGATCTTATGGAATATTCAAAATGCTTGACACTGGAGGACATTATGCTGAGTGAAATATCCCAGTCACAAAAGGACAAATACTGCATAGTGCCACTTGTAAAACAGGACTGACATCGGGCTTGGGGGAAGATTGAGAAAGATGGGATAAATTATGTATAATGCATTGAAACAGATAAGGGAGAGAGCTGTTTAAAAGGGATATGTGATTAGGTATTATTGTCATGACAGGAGTTCAGAATGAAGGCTGCATAGTGGAGTGGACCTGGGGGGAGGGATTGTATAACAATGAAATATTTTTTCTTTTACTTTAAAAAGAGCAGAGTGAACTGAGGGTGAGGGTTGGTCAGGGAGAAAAGTACAATGAATGAATGGAAATCCAGAGTCTCTATAAACTTTCATTAAAATTAAGAATAATAAAAGAAAACCCCAAACCCAAAACAAAATAGTGCTTGGGAGACCTTCACAGGTATGAGACCTAGACCAGTGAGCTGGGGGCAGGACGGGGAGCTTTAGTTACAGTCACAGCATTGAAGACAAGGCCAAGGTTATGGCCTTGTTGGGTAGTTAAAATAGAGTGAACAAAAAGATCATGTGATAGAGAATTCAGGACATGAGGGGCGAGCGTAGATACTTAAGCCATGTGAATTTTGAAATAGCCAAATAGAATTGGAAAGAAAGATGTTAGTAAGACATAGTAGTCTTACTGAAGAGAACTCATGTCCAGAGTTAATGGGTGCTTGTGACTGTTGAAGAACTAGTATTCACAGCGAATACACTTAAAGTGATTTAGAATGAAGGCGGGCAAGAAGGGAATGACAGCAGATGGATTCCTTGGGATTTTTTCTTTCAGCATTTAAATCTCCCTGCTGATGAGGAGAAAGTAATACAGGGATATCGTTGATACGTTCAGAGTACTTCTGGTGCGTTCTAGGGAAGCTAAGCAGCTTACCTAATTGTGGACTGTTTTTGCCAGCTCCTGCCTTCGTTCCTGGCTAGAACAAGACACTTCCTGCCCAACATGCAGAATGTCTCTGAATATTGCTGACAATAATCGTGTGAGAGATGACCATCAAGGAGAGAATCTGGATGAGAACTTGGTGCCCGTGGCGGCAGCTGAAGGCCGACCTCGCTTAAACCAACATAATCACTTCTTCCACTTTGATGGTGAGTGGATTTTCAAGCCCTAAAACTGTGCCTAGAGGAGTTTGACCCCCTGGCAGGGTGCTGTTTTCATCATAGATGGCCCTGTGGAGGCCGTTCTAATACTACATTTCAGTGTAGTTGAAATAATTGTCCAGTATTGAAATTGAAGGTTACACTGAGGCGTTCCTGTGTGTCAGGCGTTTTGCTAGAACCTTTGTAGAATAAGAGGTGGAGGCTGTAACATGGAATCAGCCATGCCTTCAAGGCGTCCACTTAGTCAGGTTAATAGTTAACTTTTGCTAATAATGTACTGATGTCATACTTAAGTACTTCACGAAGGCTCCTTGAGTCACTTTTCTGGGGAGTCCCAGAAGCACAATCACATAGGAACCATATTTCTTTGTCCATGAAATAGAAATGTTTTGCCGCCCAGCAGTGTTGAAAGAATTGGTAATAAAACCCACACTTAAAAGTTCAAAGAGCAGGGGGCCTCATGTAGGGGCTGAGAGGGCATCTTCCTGTGGTTCACAGGCACAGTGAGTTGTTGATGTTCATCAGTCCCATTGCGTTAAAATTCTGTGAGCTCCGTATTTCTGATACTACCCAGTAGGGATCCCTGGAATTTTGTTAATTTGTTAATCAGATCTCTAATCGAAGATTTAAATGATGGAGTGTGGTTGAAGGGTGGCATCTTGATGTGATCTCAGAAAGGAAGGAACAAGGGGCCTAAATGAAATCTCGGAAAGAGCAGTGAGGCTCCCAGGCCGCTGGTGAGGTTAGAGGGTCTGTGACTGTTAGAAAAGTCATCTGCTACTGTAGTCTGAGACATACTGGCAGGTCTTGGAGGTGTATCCTAACTGTGCATTCTTTATTTTATTCTTACTAAAAAGTCAGTGAGAAGCTTTATTCCTCCCTAACAGGTGGATGTATTTTGTTAGGAAAGATGTTTGAGGTGGTCATTTAACTTATAGTCTATGCCCTAAGGCTTTTCTCTGTGAGGGAAAGAAAAAAAAATAGTGTTTTCTATGTGACTTGATAAGTTGTATAGTGTTTTCTATGTGACTTGGTAAGTTGTATTGCTACAGCCAGTGTTTATCTAGAGTCCCTTGTCTTAGGGAATTCCTTAATGACAGGAGCTGCAGACTTCTTGGTGACAGTAGTCCACAGGCCTATGTTAAAGAACTCTTCTTCAAAGTTTTTCAAGTCAGAAAACCAAGGTCAGCAAGTCAGGTTATTAAAGAAGAAAGCACTCCATGGAAGTAGTTTTGAAAATGGAATCTTCCCAAATGAATGCTGCTTTGTGGAGAGTATGGAAGAGAGCCTCAAATCCTCATCAATAGCCTGTTGTAGCCGCATTAGGGCGGTGAAAACCTTCTTTATATTCTAGACCTGGGAGTCGATTGTGGGGTGGGAAGGAAGGTATTGTGTGGCCGGCGGATCACAAGGAGGCAGGAAAGGCTAGTGGTGATGTGTTCTGGGCCCTTAGTCTTCAAAAACTTGAGCAGCTTTGTTACCTCTGAGTACTCCAAGGACCCAAAATTAAAGAGGACGAGAGCGAAATCTCTGAGAAAGTTAAAATGGGGATACTATTAGCAGGTCCCAGGTTGAGTATTAGTGAGAATCTTCATGAAACACTTGGAACAAGGCATGCATTGTCTCCTGAGGGTGAGTATTAGCAGCTGTTCTAGAGAGGTGACATGGAGAAAGAGTCTCTGAAATTAATACTGGGTTCTCCCATGTTTTAGGGTCCCGGATTGCAAGTTGGCTGCCAAGTTTTTCTGTGGAAGTGATGCACACCACCAACATTCTTGGCATTGCTCAAGCAAGCAACTCCCAGCTTAATGCAATGGTAAGAGAGAATGGTTCATAACTGGGAGGGAGAGAAAGGCTGGAAAGACTTTCTTTTTTTTTTTTGTTGTGTGCTGTCACGTTGGACCCGACTGGTACAGGAGGAGATTGTCCCTCCTCCAGCAGAGCATCTGGTGGATTTGAACCACACACCGTTGGTACTGCAGCGCAGCTTCTTGCCACTAGGCCACCAGAGCTCCCTTTGGAAATACTTGTAACCCAGCAGCAATAACCAAGTTTAACAGGACAGCAGACAATAAATATTGGCAAGGATGCAGAGAGACCAGAATTCTTATGTACTGTTGGTGGGAATATACAATGTTACAACACTGTGGAATGCAGTTTCGTGTTTCCTCAGAAAAGGTGCATATGTAATTTGCATGCTGTTGTTGTAGGTGTCTTTGAGGGAACTCATAGTGACTACAGAGAACTTCTCTGAACCTTGCCCTATCCTGTGCCGTCCTCATCATCCCTGATATATTTAAGCCCATTGATACAGTCACTGCATGAATCCATCTGGTTGAGGGTCTTCCTCTGCCCTCCACCTTTCCAAGTATGTCTTCTTCCAAGGACTGGCCTCTCCTCTAACAAGCCCAAAGGATGTGAAACGAATTTTCCCCATCCTGTGACCCCAATATTCCACTACTGGGAATAGACCCCAAGGAAATAAAAGTTATGGTACTGTTGGTGCTTGATTATATGGCTACTTCTTGAAATGGTGCTTTGCCAGCCATTTCTTTTTGGTACAGTGACTCTCTGTATTACTTCCATCTTCTTTTGATACTGCCTGAATCATTCAAGATTTTGCCCATAACATCTTTGAGTATTGCAGTTTGAGCCTTGGATTTGTTCTTCAGTTCCTCAGCTTGAGAAATGCTGAGCGAGTTCTTCCTTTTTAATTTCCTGGTTTCAGTTCTTTGCTCATTTCATGATAATACTTTGTCTTCACAAGCTGCCCTTTAAAATCTTCTCTTTAACGTCCATTTCTTCCCTTTGTTTATGCTTCTCAGTGCTCTAGTGCAATAGTCCAAGTCTCTTCTGACATCCATTTTGGTCTTTTCTTCCTCCTCTGTCTTTGCAATGACTTCTTTATTTTTTAAAAAAGTACTTCTGTTTTTACAATAAGGTCTGTCTTATGCCATATTTGTCCTTAAGAGTCTGAGTTAGTTCACTGAGCATAATGCTTTCTAGCCTCTCCCGTGTTATATATCATGCTATGAAATCATTGCTCCTGAGGGCTACCTGGTTTTGCGTTGTGTAAATGTACTACCATTTCTCAATCCATACCTTTGTTGATGGACATCTGAGCAATTTCCATTGCTATGGGGAATAATGCTGCTGTTAACATCGGGGTTCTTGGAATAACTTTTTGCTTCTTCACAGATGATGTCTTTAATATCACAGCTCATCTGGTCTTTGTTTAAAAGTATTTAGTGCTTCAAACCTGTTCTTGAGAGGGTTTGTTGTTTTTTTAAAAATTCAGGTGGGATAGACTTGAGGTCGTATTTTGATTCTTGTGGATTTGTTTTCATTTTCTTTAGTTTCTGTTTTAACTTGCATATCTGTAGTTGATGGTGTGCTCCACAGTCAGCACCTGGCCTAGTTTTCACAGTATTGAGCTTCTCCAACAACTCTTTGCACAGATATAATCACTAAGAGTCTTGTGTAGTCCATCGGGTAAGATCCATGTGCATATTTGTTGTTTGTATTTTATATAAAAGGTATTTGCAATAAATCATTGATTGCACAAGATTCTGTCCTCTCTCAAGCCTCATTTATGTCACCAAGTCCATAGTTTATGACTCCTATTCCTTCCTTTCCCCAAGTTTTACATTCCAGTCACCAGTTTTTATGAATGAATTTTGGTTGCACATGTGATAAATTTCAGGCTGAAAATATTGGTAGAAATCTTCTATTGTCTGCTTTTTTTTAGTTTTTGGTGCATATATTTTTGATAATTGTATTGACAGGCCTTCCTTGTTTTCATATTGGTAGTATTCTGTCACTCATACCATTGTTCTTCAGGATGGATCTAGAAATAGTCTTTTTGACTATGAATGCAGCCCCAGTTTTCTTGACTCTTTCTTTCTTGGCATAGTATATCATGTGATTGTCTGATTCAGAGTGGTCACTGCCGATCTAGTTCAGCTTGTTAATGCCTAGTTTGTCAACTTTTGGTTTCTGTTTTGAGTGTCCAATGACTGGAACAGTATATCATCGAGAGAACTGCCAGGTATACAAGCTAGATATGGAAGAGGTTGTGGCATTAGAGGTATCATTCCTGATGTCAGAAGGATCTTGGCTGAAAGCAGAGAGTACCAGAAGGATTTTTATTTTATCGACTATGCAAAGGCATTTGACTGTGTGGACCATAACACGTTGTGGCTGATATTGAGAAGAATGGGAATCCCAAAACATTTGATTGTGCTCATGTGAAACTTATACCTAGACCCAAGAAGTTGTTTACCAAGATCAAGGGAAAACTGTATGGTTCAAAATCAAGAAAGAGGTGTGTCCGAGATGCATCCTTTCTTCATACCTTTTCAATCTACATGCTGAACAAATCACTCAAGAAGCTGGACTGTGTGAAGAACAATTTGCCATCAGGATTGGAGGAAGACTCAGCAACAACCTGAGTTACATAACCTTGCTCCCCAAAACTGAAGAGGACTTGAAATACTTGCTGCAGAAGATCAAGGACTGTAGTCTTCAACATGGATTGCATCTCAACATCAAGAAAACAAAAATCCTTACCACTGGACCAACAGGAAGCATCATGATAGATAAAAGTTTGAAGTTTTTCTTAATAACATCTTACTTGGATTCACAGTGAACACTCTTGGGACCAGCAGTCAAGAAATCCAAAGACAACTTGCTTTGGGAAAATCTGCTGTCGATGACCTCTCTACAGTGCTAACGAGCAACAGTGTCAGTCTAAAGACTGAGGTGCACTTGATTCAAGCAGTAGTCTTCTCAAGTGCTTGCTGTACATCTAAAAACTGGATAGTGACTAAGGATGACAGAAGAATTGATGCACTGAGTTGTATAGTGCTGTCGAAGAGTATTGAAAATGCCATAAACTACCAGGAGAACAAACAAGTCTGTCTTGGAAAACGTGAAACCAAGTTGCTTCTTGAAAGCAAGGATTTTGAAACTCCACCTCACATACTTTAGGGATGTTGTCTGGAGGAACTAGTTCTTGGAGAAGGATATCATATTTGGAAGGGTAGAAGATCAGTGCAAGAGAAGATGACCCTAGAGGAAATGAATTGACAAATAGACTGTACTATGTGCTGGAACTGAGGAGGACCTGAAGCACTTGCTGCAGAAGGTCAAGGACTGCAGTCTTCTATATGGATTGGAGCTCAACATTAAGAAAACAAAGATTCTCACCGCTGGGTCAATTGGCAGCATCAGTATGGATGGTGAAGAGGTTGAGATAGTTTTAACAGTTTTAGTATACTTGGTCCCACAGTCAACACTCTTGGTAACAGCAGCCAGGAAATCAGGAGATGAATTGCATTGGGAAAGTCAGCTGTGAGGGACCTCTCAAGAATACTGAATGCAATGATGTCAGGATGGAGACTAAGGTGTGCCTGATCCAGGCTATAGTCTTTGCAATTACGTGCATCAGAGAGTTGGACAGTGAATAGGGATGATAGAAAGAGAATTGATACCTTTGAGCTGTGGTGCTGGAGAAGAGTGTTGAATATACCATGGACTGCTAGGAGAACAAACAGGTTTGTCCTGGAGAGGGTGAAGCCAGAATGTTCCTTGGAGTCAAGGATTCTGAAGCTTCATCTGACATACTTTGGACATGTTGCAAGAAGGGACTGGTCCTTGGAGAGGGACATTATGTTTGGGAGAGTGAAGGGACGGTGCAGGAGAGGAAGACCTTCGATGAGATGGATTGATTCTGTGAGTGGAGTGGTGGGAATGAGTGTGTCTGAGACGGCGAGGTTGGCATAGGATAGAACGGTGTTTAGGGCTCTTGTACATAGGGTCACTATGAGTCACAAGCGACTTGATGGCACATAACAACAACAACAACATGTGCTAATGGGATCAGGTGTGTCAGATAGTGAGGTTGGGTTAGGATAGAACAAGATTCTGAGCTATGGTTCATAGAATCATCATGACTTAAGTTGTCTTGACAGCACGTAACAAATAACACTGTTTCTTATACTTTTGTAGGTTTCCTTATTAAAGTCTTTTGTGTCTCTAATTAGATTTATTCCTAAATATTTAATATTATGGTTCGCTGTTATAAATGTTATTGCTTCATTTTCAGTGTCTTCTTTGTTGCTGTTGAGAAATTTAACTGATGTTTGTGTGTTAATTTTGTGACCTGACACTGCTTTATTGGTCTACTAGGTCTTGCAGTTTTTTTGTTGACTCCTTAGAGTTTTCTATGTACACTATCATCTCAACTGCATATTGAGATACTTTTACCTCCTCTTTCTCAGTGTGGATACCTTTTCTTTCTTACTCTTGCTTTCTTGTTTTAGCTAGCACTTGCAATATGGTACTGAATAGGAATGGTAACAGAGGGCGTCAATGCCAGGTCCCTGTTTGCAAGGCATATATCTTTAGTCTTTCTCCATTGAGAATGATGTTGGCTCTTGGTTTTGTGTGTTATTGTTGTTGTTTAATGCCGTCGAGTCGTAGACGACTCATAGCGACCCTATGAACGAACAGCCTGAGCACTGTTCGTACATAGAATTTCCAGAGGCAAGCCATTTTGGAAGTGGATGCCGCTCCTGCTTCCAGGCTTGATTTAGTCGGGAAGCTCCAGCCAACACTGTCCACTGTGGGTGCCCATTACCATGATTGGCACATCACTGTCACAGGTTTTGTGTATATTCTTTTAATTATTTTGAGGAAATCCCCCTCTACTCTTACTTTGTTGAGTGTTTAATTAAGAAGAGTTGTCAAATTTTGCTGAAAGCCTTTTCCAGGGATTTTTTTGGAATGGTCATCCTTTGCTTTAATTGATGTGATAGACCGCATTGATTTCATTAGGTTGAACCATCCATGCATTCCTATTATGAATTCCACTTAATCATGATAAATGATTTTTCTTGTATAATCTTGCATCCTGTTGGCTACAATTTTGTTAAGACAGTTTGCATCTGTTTTCATGAAAGAATATTGGTCTGTAGTTTTCTTTTTTGGTAATGTCTTTGCCTGGTTTTGTTATCAGAATGAATACTAAATTGCTTTGTAGAATGCAACTTAAACATTCTTTTTTTTCTTTTTCTTTACTTTGGAGTAATTTAAGTATAATTGGTGATAATTCTTTGAATGTTTAGTAGGATTCACCAACTAAGCCATCTGGTCCAGAGCTTTTTTATTTGGGAGTCTTTTTATGACCCTGTCCGTTTCTTCTTTTGTGATGGGTATCTTCAAGTCAACAGTCTTGGCACAAGCAGCCAGGAAATTAAAAGACGTATCGCCATGGGAAAGTCAGCTGTTAGGGACCTCTCCAAAGTACTGAAGAGCAGTGGTGTCACTCTGGAGACTAAGGTGTGTCTCATACAGGCCATGGTCTTTGCAATCACTTGTTATGTGTCAGAGAGTTGAACAATGACTAGGGAGGATAGAAGGAGAATTGATGCCTTTGAGCTGTGGTGTTGGAGAAGAGTATTGAATGTACCATGGACTGCCAAGAAAACAAACAGATTCATCCTGGAGAGGGTTAAACCAGGCTGCTCCTTGGAGGCAAGGATTCTGAGGCTTCGTCTGACCTACTTTGGACATGTTGTAAAGAGGGACCGGTCCTTTTGGAGAAGGACATCATGCTTGGGAAGGTGGAGGGCAGGTGCAGGAGAGGAAGGCCTTCTATGAAGTGGATTGATTCAGTGACTGGGGTAATTGGTATGGGTGTGTTGGAGGCAATGTGATTGGCACAAGATAGAGCAGGGTTTAGGGCTGTTGTACATAGAGTCACAAGCGACTCGACGGCACATAACAACAACCTTCAAGTGTTCTACTTCTGTCAGTATCAACTTGGATAGGGTATAAGGTCTTTCTACAGGCTTGAAAAAATTGTAAGGGATTGCAGTTTGATGATGTGTTGTCATTCTGTTTTTTAATATCAAGACTTTAGTATCTGGTATATATTTTAAATATATAGGTGACAGCAAATTTTAAGTCAGAATTATTGGTTGTAGTCAAGCCAGACCCTGACTCATGACAGCTTTGTGAGTGCTATGTAGTAGAATTGCTGCATATCATTTTCTTGAATATAGTCTTTATGGAGGCATCTTGCCAGGCCTTTCTTCCACCAGTCATTGGACTGCTCAAATGGTTTGAATGGCTTTTTTTTAGATTAGTAGCCAGTCACAAATAACATGTACCACCTGGCTCCTCCCTTACTTATGTTTTTGAGGTGAGAATTCAAGTTTAGTGCCCAAGGTCAGCTGTAACTATAACCTTAATAAAGTGACTGTTGAGTATGACCATTTCTACAAATTGTGTATTTGTATTTCTGTAGGCACATCAGATTCAAGAAATGTTTCCCCAGGTTCCATACCACTTGGTGCTGCAGGACCTCCAGCTGACACGTTCAGTTGAAATAACAACAGACAATATTTTAGAAGGACGGATTCAAGTACCTTTTCCCACACAGGTAAATGGATTTTTTTTTTAAAGTATGCAAATGGAATCTGTCTTCACAAAGATTTAATCATTCTAGGGTAACAGTTTTTATTATTTGCCAAATCCTTTAAGTTGTAATTTGATGAAAGGTTTTTCCACAGGTTCCCTCCCTTTCCCTAGAAAGAGGAAAAGCCCCAATAAGATGAATTGTAACAGTAGGCTTGAGCATTTCAGAGATTGAGAGGTGGTTCATTATAGAGCAAAGTTCACCTCTCTTGTCCACAGCATTGCTGTGAGTTACAGTCTATTCATTGACAGTTGAGATTATAACAAGGACAAAGGTATATGAGTCATTTTTGCATACTTTAACCCAGCCTTCTCTTGCCAGTCTAGTTTGTCACAGCATCAGTTTCTCTTTCTAGAAAAGGCAGATAGTAAATAGTTTTTATTTTGTTTCTGAGTTTTCTTATTTTAACATTATGAAAGTCATGGATAATATGTAAATAAATGCACTTAACTGGGCTCCAGTAAAATATACTGAATAAGCAACAGACTGAATTTGTCCAGTCATTTGCCAGCCCCTGTGTAATGCCACACGTCCCCAGTAGACTCTACATATTACTCTGGTTTTCTACTGGGTACATTGCAAGTCTATCTCTGAACATTGGATTTTTTTACTTTTTTATTTCTTAAAAAAAAAAGCTTTCCTGGCCCATGAACTTGAGACTCAAGCAAATTGGTGCTTTAGATAGTATTTGCCAGTTCTTAGCTATGTTACGTTGTCGTTGACTTGGATTCTCTAGGGACAGACCTGAGACAAAGATTAGAATGTAAGTGTTTTCTTTGGAAGGGAATCCCAGAACACACTGATATGAGAGTGAGAAGGGAGGGCAGCCTCTGAAAGATTTGCTACCAAGCAGAGTCCACTGTGGGCAACTGAAACCTGATCCACTGGGGGATGACAGTGGTAGCCAGGACAAGACACGTTATCTCCTCTGAGGGCCCAGGGAGCCTGGAATAGTTACAGACCAGTTCCCGTCAGTCATTGGTGGTAGGCTGCTTCTCGAGTGGCAGAACTAGCTCATGCAGCCAGATAGAAGTTCCCAGGTCATCAAATATGGGAACTGGCCAGTGAGCACTGAAGTAGGAAGGGTCACTGAGCACCTGCATTGCCCAAGATCTGGAATTGGCCAGCAAAGAGAATAAGAGAGATCTATTTTAAAGATAATGATAAGGATTTATCTTGGTGCTAGATACAAAACATAGACTCAGTTAATGGTATCTACTTTTGTCATAATATTGTGATAACTGTCTTAGAAAAGGGAAGTAAATGTGGAGCTGATGTCCTCTTGAGTTCCTTTGCTTTTCCTTTAGTATGTGCTGCCTTTATTTCCTGGATGCTCTAGCTTTGAGCACGCTGGGCTGGAATCTCTTGTTTACTGTTCAGTGACTCTCCCGTTTATGGATCTGTGTCTCTTGCAGCGGTCAGAGAGCATTAGACCTGCTCTGAACAGTCCCGTGGAAAGGCCAGCCAGTGAGCAGGAGGAGGGAGAAGCCTCTACTCAGGTAAAGTCAGAGCATTAGTGAGGATATGCGTGTGGGAGGAGCGTGGCGCATGGCAGTGATCTGCTCCAGTTCTTCTCTAGTCCCGCCCCAACATTGTGAACCTGAGGGCAAGAAAACAAAAGGAAGGCCTGGGAGTCTTCTCAAAATAAAAAGTCAATAAATGCATTTGTGCCCATGGTCCGGCCTGCGTGTCTACCCAGACCTACTGCCACCACTTCCTGGAGAACTCTTATATGACCTGGACACGTAGGAGTCAGACTGGCCCTGGACTAGCCCTTCTCCCTTGACCTTCAGTGGCACCTTAGGACCCACAAGATGAAGCGGGGCTTGGTCCTAGGACTCTAAGGGTGACAGGGCTCATCCAAACCCAGGCAGAGACCGGCTGGGATGAGCTTTTTAGGAGCTGAGATCATCAGCTTAGGCTCCCTCCGTCTTACATTTCAGGGTTTCCAGGTATTTCTCTGTACATTTCTCAAAAGTGAGACTGCCTGAGGGGTAGGGTGGAAGAGAGAGCATGGTAATCATGGGAAGTAGATAGGCCTAGTAGGGAGTATACTTTGAGTGATTTGGAATGATCGTCCTTAACTCAGACTGAAAAGAAGAATCTCCAGTGGATCTACTTCTGAAAAAAATTGCCTGGTGAAAACCTTGTGAGTATCAGCAGGACGTTGTCTGACAGAGTGCAGGAAAATGAGTCTGGGAGGCACTCCAAACCCAGCGGGGAGGAGCTGCCTCCGCAAGGAGAGTCAGGCTCGATGACGTAAATGGAGTAAAGCTTTCACGACCACCGTTTCCTGGCGTGATGTAACTAAGTGTGAGGAGAAACCACTTAAAACTCATATTCCTAATAGGCATGTGAATGTATGAATCTACGAAATTTGGAAGTCGTCAGAAAGGAAATGGATTGCATCAAGATCTGTAATATCCTAGGTCCTGTTGAGGACAACTCCTAGTGATCCTGTGAACAGTGGCTCTGCACCTTGCTCTGTCCTGAGCCAGTTCACCATCTTTGACACACTTGCCCCTTATGACACAGTCACTGTGTCTGTCCATCTCATACAGGGTTTTCTCTTCTGTGCTGACCTCCCCCTTCTGAGCATGATGTCCTTCTCCAGGGACTGGTCCCTCCTGCTGTTGTGCCTAAAGTATATGGGATAGAGTTTCAAAATCCTTGCCTCCAAGGAACCCCCTGGTTTCACCCTCTCCAGGATAGACCTGCTTGTTCTCTTGGCTGTCTATGGTGTGTTCACTACTCTTCTCCAGCACCACAGCTCAAAGGCATTGATTCTTCTTCTGGCATCCTAATTTGTTGTCCAGCTTTCAGATGCACAGCAGTCAGTTGAGAAGACCATGGCTAGGATCTGGTGCACCTTACTCTCTAGACTGACATTGTTGCTCTTTAGCACTCTGGAGAGATCCTTAACAGCAGATTTTCCCATTGCAACTCATCTTTTGATTTTCTGACTGCTGGTGCCAAGAGTGTTGATTGTAGATCCGAGTAAGATGAAATAACAACCTCAGTCCTTTCTGCATCGGTTATGATGCTGCCCATTGGCTTCATGGTGCTACCGAGACATCCTGGGCACTAGAATGGGACAGTCATAAGGTTTACTATAATAGGAATGGTGTTACATTCATCTGTAAATTCAACATTTGAAGATCTATGCCAAAGTACAATGCTGTTAGTATTAGAATATTATCCATATACTTACAAGGGTGATAGTTAATAGTACTAATATTCAAGTTTAGACACCACTCATAAATGCCAAAAGATTAACAAATTGAACATTTTGCCAAATGGAATTTTTTTTACAAAGTCTGAAATCAGTCCAATCAAAATATATTGATCATTACTGGTGATTGGAATTCAAAAGTTGGAGACTTAAGCCGTTATATCAGGGTCTGGTCAATGGGAGACGGGTGTTGAATGTTGTATGCAAAAGTAGGAAGGGTTGGTGGTACAGTAGGGAAAGGGTGGATTAAAAAAAAAACAACCAAAAAAAAAATTAAAAAAAAGAACAACCAAAACCACAAAACAAAACAAAAAAACAACAACCAAACATGTAGCCGCATGGGCAGCGACATTGAATATTTGTCTTTTTCTAACTGGTAAATGACTTTCATCTGCTCTTTTCTGTAGAGTGCTTGTCTGTCAGATACTATTATATATGTTTAAAAACTGAGACAGACTAGGAAGAAGGATTGACCATCCACTTCTGAAGTTACAGGCCTTCGAAAACCCTATGTACAGTACACTTAGACTATCATTTGGAGGCAAAAAAGATTAATAATTGGAAAATATGACTGGTGATAGAAACAGTGTCATAAATGGTGTAAAAGACTTTTGCAAGACCAAATAGCCTTCCTGACAACATAAACAGTGGCTATACATGTGGACCTCACTGGACTACACAGAAATCAGGGCAGCTATACCTGTCTAAGCAAGACCAGAGGCCAGATACAAAACAGACCATCACCTGCTTCAGGTTGAAGCTGAAGAAAATAAGTCCAGAAGAGGGCAAGAATGACTCAGATGTTCCACTGAATTTAGAGACTGTCTCAAGAATAGATTGAAGACTGAAGACTGAAGATTAGGTTAGTGGTGGGGTAACATCAAAGATTCTGATATTATACATGAAAAAGGAAAAGGATCATTAAAAAAGAAAGACCAAAATGAACATCAGAGGACTTTCTGAAACTTGCTCTTGAATGTAAATTTATAGTTAAAGCAATAAAGAACTGAACAAGAAGATTTTCAAAGAGTGGCTCAAGAAGATAAAGTAATAAAATATACATAGTTAGAAAAAAAGAAAAAAATACATGCAGCACTTCTTGAGCTTTAAGAACTAAAGGGGGAAGGGAGCTCTGGTGGCCTAGTGGCAAGACGCTGCACTGCAATCCCAGAGGTATGCAGTTCAAATCCACCAGATGCTGTGCTGGAGAAGGAAGGAGCAATCTCCTCCTGTACCAGTCAGATCTGATTTGATGGTACACGTAAAAATAATACATTAAAAATAAAAAAAAGAACTAAAGGGGGGATTATTCAAGACTTGAGTTGGAGTAATAAAGGATTCTCTGAGCAAAATACTGAATGGCATAGGAACTAGCAAAAGAAGATGGAAAGAATACAGAGTCATCCTGCCAAAAAGCATTGGTTGATGCTCAGCTGTTTTAGAAGATGGCATATGGCTACGAACTGACAGTATTGGAGGAAGAAGTCCAAGCTGCACTGCAGGATTCATGAGAAACAAGCCTCCAGGAATCGATTGAATACCATCTGTAATCTTCAATGTGGCATACATCTCAGTCTTTTTCTCCTATTCTGCTGGCACCGTGCTCTAAGATTTGGGTTCACACCTGTCTTTTCTGGGACCCTATACCCCTTTTCTTTCTTTTTTATTTTAACTCTTTATTATGTAGCCTACCTTTCACTAGCTATGCATCTGTCTTGTACCTTAATAAACCTTTTTCACTTGTTTGCTAAAAAAAAAAAATATGGATTACATCTCAACATCCAGTAAACAAAAATGCTCACCACTGGTTCAGTAGGCAACGTTATGATAGCTGGAGAAAAGATTGTAGTAGTTACTGATTTTATTTCACTTGGATCCACAATCAGTACCCATGGCAATAGCAGTAAAGGCATCAAAAGATGTGTTGCGGAGGCAGTCTTTGAGGCTGACCCACTGTCCTCCACAGATCTGTAATAAAGTGCTTATGGATATTGCAATCCGTTTGTCTTATTGGCAACTGACTACGGAAAGAACCCCTTGCATTCAGTACCATTTTGGCGACCAAGAAGGGACCTTCAGACTCACCTGAGCATTCCTGACATTAGGAGGAGACAACAAAAGATGGACTGAACCGTTGGCACAAACTCAACTCAGCATGCTCGACCCGAGGTATCCAACAACTGAGAATGCCAGACACCTCCAGATAATGTTGTCTTTGGAAATACCACCGAAGGTTTGCTCCTGTTTCTATAGGTAACCTGAATACTGAGTTTTGTTCCAGACCCTGAGCTGCCAGCTAAGGAAGCAAAGTCCACTGGACTCAATCTCACAAGTCAAAAAATACTCCCTCCCCCTTAATTTTCTTAGTTTGTTTTTCATTTGCAAATAGTTGTTAAACAGCGTTTCATGTAACTTAAAAATAGTAAAACCGAAATTGAGCCTTTAACCATAATAAAAAGGTTCAACAGCAAACTATGTGCATCAGCCTAGGTACTTGTATAATAACTGTTTGATGCTGTTCTTGCATATTAGAATGTCACTAAAGTATTATTAATTTGTTAAATCATGTGAGGTAGGGGAAAGCAAATAGCAGTCTGTAACACTAAAAAAAAAAGATGTGTTGGGTAAATCTGTTGTCAAGACCTCTCCAAAGAGCTGAAGAGCTAGCATGTCAGCTCAGAGACTAAGATGGACCTGATCCAAGTCTCAGAGGAATTGCAACCAGAGTGCTTCTTAGAGGCAAACATGGTGAAACTTGGTCTCACGTACTTTGGACATGTTGTCAGGAGAGAGGCCAGTCCTTAGAAAAAGACACCGTGCTGGAAAAGAGAGGGTCAGAGAAAGAGAGGAAGGCCCTTCATGAGGTGAATTGACATTGACTGTAACAGTGGGCACAGGCATATCTGAGATGAGAAAGAAGGAAGCAGCGTAGGGCAAGGTTCAGAACTGTTGTTCATAATGTCACCATGAAGCATAGTCAACTTCAGTGGCTCCTAACAACAACAGGGAGTTGGAGAGCAGAAAGACTGATGGCCTAGTGGCAAAAAACTGTGCTGCAGTCCCCAAAACAGGCAGTTCTAAACCACCAGCTGCTCTGCAGGAGGGTGAGCAGTCTCCTGTACTATTTGTTGCTTCTGAAAACCCCCTGGAGCATCAGCTATGGGTTGGTTTGACTTGGTGGCCCACCACAAGAAGCAGCATGAGTCATGCCCTGTTTTCAAGGGTACAGAGCCAGATACGTACGCCTGCCCTCAGAGAACTCCCATCTGCCATTCCACATGTACATTTAGTGCCCTCTTGGCTGCCGCTTTGCCTCGTAGCATCTTTTCTATCGGTTCAGAAGAGTCATTTGTTTAGGGCTGTTCTGAAGAGCAGTCTTCAGAGGTGGCCCATGTTCACGGTTGCCTTTCTGCTTCTCCTCTGTGCCCAGACTGAGCGTGTGCCACTGGACCTCAGTCCTTGGCTGGAGGAGGCGATGGACTTCAATGAGACCGATGTGGAGCCCAGCGAGGTGGAAGACTTTGAGGCTCGGGGAAGCCGTTTCTCCAAGTCCGCTGACGAGAGACAGCGTATGCTGGTCCAGCGCAAGGATGACCTCCTGCAGCAGGCTCGGAAGTAAGTTGATTCTGCAGGGCAGAAACCAGGGCCTGAAGGCCTTCCTCTCGTAGGGCCCTCGTGGTGTCTTAAACAGGTGCCAGCACTGCACCATTATGTAGCACTTAGTTCAGATCGCAGGCCTGTCTTGAACAAGCAGAGGTCTGGCAGCGCTGGCCCTGGCTGGTAAGGGGGGGCTGGTACTGTCAGTGATGGCCAACCTGTGACCCTCTGCGCACACATTAACAGATGACACATGTGCTAGCATGTTCCACACTCTTCATTTCCATGTAATTCTCTGAACTCTGATGGGAAGCACTGTTATTACAGCCACCTGAACGACTTGTAGCCTGCAGATGCTAAGGCCTTAGAGAGGTTAGCTCTTGCCTGGGGTCTGGCTCCCCTGAGACCACCTCCCTCTTGACCAGTCTACTGCTTAGCCTCCGATTGGAACATAGCCTTCACATGCCACGTGTCATCTCCTTTACCCATGACTGGATGTAATGGAGAGACGGTGTTGCTGTGAAGGGGGGTGTGAGGTTTTGCTTGTTGTTTTTATTTAAACGGATGCGGATAGAATTGATAATCATGTTCTTTTTGTGGCCTGTGTCTGACATGGAATTTGAGATTGTGAGGCCGTCACGTTCTTGTGGGGAGGGATGGACACGAGTGAGCCTCTTCCTGGTCACAGGGCTCTTTCTCTCCTGGTTAGGCAGAGAGCCTTGGCAGCTTCATGAGGGTGTATCGAAAAGGCAGAAATTAGAAAGAAAGAAATGCACTGTTGTGTGTCCCACAAGTTGCCATATCACTTGTGCAACTCCTTTGTGTTTTGTTAGGCGTTTCTTGAACAAAAGTTCCGAAGATGACTCAACCTCGGAGAGCTGTCCCCCTCTGGAAGGCACGTCCTCTGACCCCGTGACCCTCCGTCGAAGGATGTTGGCAGCGGCTGCCGAGCGGAGACTTCAGAAACAGCAGACGTCCTAGCGACGGCGGGCCTTCCTCAGCTCGCTCCTCCTGCACAAGTGCCCGGGAGGAAAGGCCACCCCCGTGCTGCCTGCTGTGTGAAGACGTGGGCTTGACTGCATTGCCGCTGTATAAAGCATGTGGTCTTAATAGTGTTTGGACAGCTGACAAATTTAATCCTTTTTGTAATACTTTCTATGTGACATTTCTCCTCCCCTTAGAAACACTGCACATTTTAACTCTAGGCATGATCTCTTCTGGCGTCAACTTCTTGGGGCTTGGGGGAGATTGAAAGACCTACTGCAGCAGCTTTGGTTACTGCTTTGTGCACAGATCACCAAAACTGCTGGTGTCTCTAAGCCCCAGATCTGCTGGGCTGGGGAGGAGATGTGCAGCTTGGGCCTGAACTGCTCCTTCGGTGATGTCACACTGCTGTTCTTAGTGCCGGGCATTCAAGATCTTACAGAGGCCAGAGCCGTGGGGATCCCGAGAAAGAGTGCTTGGTTTGACGCCTGCCTTAGAGGGGAAAGGCCAAGGGCTGTCGAGTAGAGTAAGGACCTCCTTTGTGTCACACTCAGTCCAGGACTGACTTTCTGAGGACGTAGATCAAGGCTGGCATTCTGGATTTTTGATAGGCAGAGGTGGTGCTTTATGTCCCCTCTGCGTCCCCTGAAAGGACCAGGCGGCAAACATTGTAGTTTCAGTTCCTCAGTCAAGTGAATTAGGCCGTTTCACTCAGTGAGTTTGGACCTTGGGGAAGATGTGAGTCTTGCAACTTCAGAGGACTTTATTGAAGAAATAAGAGATACTGTAATTTTTTTTCCTTCAAGTCCTTCCATTTTCATAAGTTTGTTCCTGTTGGTTTAATTAACATGGAAAGGTTAAGACGTTGAGTCTACCGCCTTAGGGCCAGACCCAGTTCCTAAACCTTCCAGGTTCTTCACACGTTTAACTTTAAAAATATGACACACACAATCATAAGTTGCACAGTTCATTTTTATGACCCCATCATATTAGAATTTTTAAAATGTTTGAAAGCATCATTTTAGTCCTTTTGGGAAGAATCCAGTATTATCTAAAATTATTGGCAAGGTTAAATGTATTTTCTGTAACTACAAGTTTCTAGACTGTTTAAAAGTAATTGAGAAAAGGGTGATGAATAATAATTTAGGCAGGTAATTTATTTCAATAAATCTTACAGAAGCCTTACTTTGAAATGCTGTAGTAAATTTCTGATATTTTTTTTCATTTGTTTTGTTAAGAGCATAGCTATTTCTGTTTTTATTGTAAAATAATAATAATAAAAAGCAAACTCTTCTCCTGTGTTGTGTGTGGCTAGAGGCTAAGGCAGTGCTCTTCTGAGGCTTCACACTCATTTTGATTTTGATCTTTCTGAATTGGGGGATTTGATTTTTCTTAATATTTATTTTGAGAACACGGAATTGGATTTTTATTGCAGTTTATCTCATTTTTCAAGGTGAATGGAGAGATTTTTTAAAAATTTTCCTTGAATGTCACTTCTTTAGTTTGCATGTTTTACACATGAAGGGTGACACAGATTCAGATGTGTGAGAAGAGAAAATTGTATTGGGCCAATTTTAGGGAGTTTGGAGATAATGGCGATACAGCAGAACCACAGTGGTCAAAGTGGGAGAAATCTCTTAAGTAGCTTACAGTGGCTCAAGAAGAGAAGTCTGAAACTCACCCTTAGATGTTGCCTCTGAGGAATTAAAGATTCTAGCCGTCGTTTCTTTTGACTCTTGGAGGTCATGGGACAAATGCTTAGAGCAGTAGCTGGAGCTGGTCTGGTTTTCAGTTCTATAGAGCAAACTCCCAGAGATTCACCTTCCCCACCCTCATGGCTATTGGGGCTGGGAGCCGCTGGGGCTGAGGTGAGGCCAAGGGTTCAAGTATACGGAAAACAAGAGGTCTTGGGCAGTCTAGTGACAGCTGAGCGGTCCTTGCCCTTTCGTGATCTGTACAAGTAGTCATTCTCTTAGGAGCCCCACTTTGTTAAGACATGGTGGGTTCATGATCTGGCCCCTCTAAAGGTCAAGGTTTTTGTGTACCACAGGATTATGGTCCATGTGGACATTTTACTTCTTCTCAGTGTGTGTTCAGGTGGCCACTTGAATCCACTTTCCCCCTTGAGCTGCACAGACTTGAACCTCAGCCGTGTGAAGGAATGGAACCAGTGCTTTGTGAGAGCCAAGTGGCCAGCCTCGTTGGGAAGGCACTCTTCCCGTCTCATACCTTGTCTGTGTACTTTTTAGGTTAAGTGTGGTCATAGGCCTGGCTACTTATCAGAATCATAGGACACTTTTTAAAAATGATGCATAGATTGTGCTTCCTACCATCCTGAATTCTTAAAAAAACAACACAAAAAACCTGACCTCTCTTATTAAAAAGGATCAAGCAAAGAAACTTGGTTTTTATCTGCAAACTCATTTGGAGTTACTGGGGAAGAAGGCTATTAAAGCCTAGAAATTCAGTGATGCCACATTTAGAGAAAGTGCCTTTCATCTCTGTGCAGGTCCCAGTCATTCGAGGTGCTCCTGGCCCACCAAGAGGAGCTGCTGAAACCACCCCACACCCCCTAAAGGAGCGAGGACTCAAACGGGCCCACTTGAATTGCCCTTTGGGTTTGTCCAAAATGAGATGTGTCCCCCTTGGGTTAAGACGACCCAGGCAGTTTCTGTTTGGCCTCATTCTTGGGTCCACCAACCTCTCTGGAGGAACAGCTGGGTACAGAAGGAACAAAGTTCTCCATTAGGAAATTTTGGGCTACTTCCTTCCCATTCTACCATTTATAAAACTCCCCAAGATAGCTGGGTATGAGGAGGTGGGGCCTGGAAGAAGGGGGGTGCTCTGTCAATGACAAGCGGCCCGCCTACTCCCCTACCCTCCTTGTTCCCAAGTGGCACTGGGCCACTCACCACTAAGAGCCACGTGTCCTGTCTCGCCCCTGCTCACAGCACTGAGGGGGGCGTGAGGTGACACGCTTGTGGGGATTCTTCACTCAGCCTTTACTCTGCCCCCCAGCCTCCCAACGCCTGTGGCCCAGTCAGCCCCTCCCTCCTTCTCCTCCCGACCCGATAACTGTCGCCCAGAAGCCAGAGGTGAGAGACTGAGAATACAGACAAACATTCTCTTTATTGAGCTACACATGAATTTTCCATTAGAGAAGTAGACTGGCAGTGTGTAAGATACCACAGAAACCTCACCGATTGGGAATAGAAAGGCTTAGAAAGACCCGGGGCTGCTTTTTTTTTTTTTTTTCTTTTATATTTTTCCTTTTTTTCCCCCCCCAAGGTTGGTTTGGTCTTTTTTTTTTTTCCACTCTTGTGTTTTTAACTTTGTGTGTGTGTTTTTTTTGTCGCCTCTATTTGAAATGGCTGTGACTGGTCTTCAGCAAATATTGTCTTAAAAGTGAATCTGTGAACAGGTTTGGATACTAGTCAGTAGAAATGACATAGGACAGGTCATGAAAACCGTGACACTTTAATGTAAACACTACATTCCATCTTCTTTTTTCTCAATTTTTTTTTGTTGTTGTTGTGGTTTCCCCGCCCCCCATCTTGTGGTATTTAAAAATTTTTGTTTTGTTTTGTTCTTTTTCTCTGTAGCACAAACATCCCCACATGAGAAAGAGTGAACGCAGGTCATCAGACAAAGGAAAAGGTAGCGAGGGGAGCAGATCACGAAAGGGGTGACGCCTGAGAATGGAAACCGTCAGAGGAAAAGCCACACCCAGCTTCCCAAAAACCTTGAGTGCTGATCTGGTCCGTAATACGTAGTACTCATCAGGACAAAATTGGATTTTTATTTTTTTTTTTACAAAGGAAATCTTTAGAAAAGGAGTGGTGGGAAAACTGATTTCTATCGGGCTCTATTTATGTATCTGAGAGGGATTCTTGGTTTTGGCAGCTACTGGCCAGGGTGAGCTGTGCTTTTTCTATACAAACCTGGAGTACGTGTAGGTTGGGGCGGCCCAGGACGGGCGGAGCTCCGCATAGTGTCATGTATCTGAGAGGGTCTTGCAGGGGTTTGGGTGGCTCCCAGGAGAGTGCCCCGAGTACCCAGCTCCAAGCCCTAACCCAGGCCCTGGGCTCAGTGGTGGGGGGAGAGTGGTGCAGATGCGTTTGTTTACTTTTTTTTTTTTAAAAGTATGGATGAAATGGTAGTTTTTTCCTTTTGTTTTGTTTTTTAAGCTACGAAGCACATGAGAAATATTCTTTGTTGTGTGTGTGTGTTTTCCCCCCCCCTTTCAAATTCTAAATGTAAAGACTCAACTAAAACCAGATTCTACAGCATTCTACAGAAAGACACAGCCGTCAGTCACTCTGGGGTCGGAGGTTAGACAGGGGCTTGATACAGAAAGGCTGTGTGTCTTACAAAGGCCAAAAGGTCATGCTACCAGGAGATCAACGTCAACAGCAAAGAGTCCGTGAAGCAGTCTGTAGAGAGAGAGATAAGGGGTCCAGTCTGACCATTTTCTTTCATTTTTAAAAACCAACCATCCAACCAGAAAAACCCTAGGACACCATCTTCATAATGTTAGGCGGGGGCCAGATGGGATAGCATCATGTGCAGGATCACGAACCCCCATGACACCATCCCAGGCCCTTGGAACGCTGGTGAGTCCACAGCTCTGGCCCCCCTTGGCCACGCCTGCCCCTTCTGCACTTCTCCCCGCTGCCTGGAGGATCCCCTTGCAGGGGTCTGGCTTCAGTTCTGCAATTGAACCGGAGCTATGATTTGCATGCCTCCTACCTTCCTTCAGCTGCTACTAGGAAGCAGACCAAGTCTCCCTTCTCTTGGATTCTTTCTCATTCAAATGAACAAAAAAACTCAGGAGACAGTGGATTGGTCAGAGCAATGATTCTTCTAAATTCTTGAAATTGACAACCACCACCCACCCCCGAAGAGAGCGTCTTGGAATTGTGGATGTTGGGAGTGTGAAGTCAGGGATGTTATCTAGGGTGTTGGCCGTCTTAAGGGGTCTTGGAATTCACACAAGA